GCGGGATGGTCCGCTCCTCGGGGCGGTCGCTTGCTCCGTGACCGGGATCCACCCACCGCGCCTCGTAAATTATCCTGCCCCGTGGGTGACCTGGTTTGTGGTGTTGGCGCCGGCGATGGCATTGAACCTGCCTGCGGCCTGGCTTGAATACGTGGGAAAAGGAGTGACATCAGAGTGAAACTCTGCGTCAGTCTAGACGTTTAGTATAATTATTATGTTTTGTCTCGAGGCAGCAAGTAGGTTTATTGTTAACCTGAGAACTTGGAGCACTTGATGGGCGGCGCCGGCTTCGTTAGACTGCGAGGCAAACATACGTTTTTTATATCTGCCTCAATGAGCGTCTTCTCAAAGAATCTTTAAGGAACCCATCTAGTCAGCTATCAGTCGGCATCGAATCATCTTTGCCAACCTCCGGCCTCTATTAACCTTCTCATCGCCCCAGCCACCGCTTATAATTATTCGTCAGGTCCTAGTCGGCATTGCAGTCTCTCCATCAGCCCTCAGTCGCCACTGAGCCTTCCCTTTCACCCCTTCCCCCCACCACCCCATAACAAGCCGTCCTCATCCACCCCATGCCGGCACTGATCCCTCTCATCCCGTCCCCCTGCGACGCGGGTCCTCCCTGACGACCGCAAGCCCTCCCAGGCGCAAGTGCAGGCCGGGCCCGCCGTGCCGCCCCGTATCCTTGAGGCAGCTTTCCCTTTCGTTTGGGCGGCGGCCGGCCGGCCGGCCGGCGGCGAGCGCTCGACCGGCCGGCCCGCGGCGAGCGCTCGACCGGGCGGACCGGGCGGGGCGAGCGCGACCGGCGCTCACGGGCTCCCGGGTCATCCGTGACCTGGGAGACCCTCCAGGGTCATCCGTGACCTGGGAGCCTCTCCCGGGCCATCCGTGACCTGGGAGCCTCTCCCGGGCCATCCGTGACCTGGGAGCCTCTCCCGGGCCATCCGTGACCTGGGAGCCTCTCCCGGGCCATCCGTGACCTGGGAGACCCGCCAGGGTCATCCGTGGCCTCGGAGACCCTCCAGGGTCATCCGTGACCTGGGAGACCATCCAGGGTCATCCCCGTGACCTGGGAGATCTGGGCGGCCGCGACGGCTGTGGACGAGTGCCAGGGGGAGTAACCGACGATGTCGTTGGTGCGGTTGGTTGGGTGGCGGCGGCGCCTATCGGGGAATGTTGCGGGGAATTGCTGGTCACAACATTCGTTGCGTTCCAGAACGCTGCTGCTGAAAAGCACGATTCAGAGATTTTTCACGGATGTGGATCGTGGGTGTCGACCAGTTGTACTGCATGGCTGATGATGGAATGGATCATGATGTCAAGAGGCGGCTCTGAGCGCGCGATCTCAGCTGCCAGATTGGGAATGACATGCTTACGTCTAGATTAATTCTGAGGGCGAAATGCTTGCCTAACCGGTGGTGTGGGAGTACTGCGCAGAAAGTGACACAGAAAACCAGCCACAGTATATCTCATGCGCGATGTACTGTGGCTGGGAAAAGCAAGGGTCGAAACCAGACACGGGGATTTTGAAATACGTTGAAATTTTAGAGATTTGAAACCCGATCACTGTGGGCTGCAAGTCGTGACCATGCTGCCAAGTTCTCCCCTTACTCCCGGCTCAAACCCGTAGGGCATCCCTTGTGATCTTCAAACAGTGACGTTTTTGCCGACCGAAACTCAGCCAGGGGTAGGGGTATCTCAAGGCGACCCAATGCCTCTCGGGAGACAAAAATAGGCCAAAAAACTGCACGCATCCAAGTGCGTGTAAGTCAGGAGTAAGTGGTGCGCAAGCCGTGTGCCTCTCAAATCGCGGGGTATGTGTGCCCAGCCATGCCGCGTAACACGCACACGTCTCTCGCGATTTGAGAAGCACATACCAGTCGCACGCCAACTTATCCACTACTTGGCTTACACTCAAGTGCACACAACCTCACGCAAGTTCTGTTTTGCGTACCTCGGGCGTAAGTCATGCAAGGTTTTGAACTTCACGGGAATGCTCGTGTGTCGCATCACATGGTGTCACCAGTTTGCAACGCGCATTCCTTTGAGCCAGGCACACGGCGCACATCGAAGCTCACGCGCAACAGGCCTCGTGCGTGATAGAATCCTACCAGCCAAGCCAGCTTTCCATTCCTCTCTTTTTGCCCGAAGGACCCAGCTGCGCTTAAGCCACGTTGCGCTAAGCTTCGGTGCAAGTTTTGCCAGTTCCTCGACGCCCTCGACGTCTATCATGCGGCAAGGCGTCTGCGCACCCTTTCTACTTTGATTAACCAGCTAAACTTGCGAAACATGCGCACTGCTTGCATTACAGGGCCTTGGCTCTCCCCAGGCCAGGGTGTGCGTCGAATCCGGCTCGCGCAGCTGGACACCGGCACCCCTCATTTGCAATCCTTGGGCGCGCGCCTGCCCAGGCCCGGGGGCGTCCATCGGCAGCGGCGGCGCCTGTGACAGGGGTGTGACGCAAGCAGGCCACTATACTGCCGCTGCCGCTCATCGCTGCCAGTCACAGGCACCGCTGGTTGGCGGTCGCAGTGGCGTGTTGCGTAACGGGGTCCGAGCTGCAGTGGCGTCGCCAGGGACGGCAACGCGGGGGGACGGCTTGCGTCATGGTCGGCCCGTGAATTGGAGGGGAGCGGCTGTTGACTGCTCCAAGCATCAAACAAATAATTCATGCGCCGTGCTGGCGCCGGTTGGGTTCCTTCGGCCCGCCCTTGCTGTGTTTTATGCCTTTGCATGCGACCCGCTGCTTGCTCTTTGGAGCCTTGTAACGACACTCCAATGGGATGCTTACAAACTCGGCGGCCAGCCCCAGGCGAACGCTACGAGCTTGCTTAACACAACACCGGAGCGGAGTGTTTTCCCCACGTGCCGCGCATCGGCGGGTGCTTGCAGTGGGAGGCACGTGGGCCGATTTCTACCACCGGTGGCGCGCTTTTTAGCCGGTGTGGGATTCATGGCTAATTACCATCGTAACTAAGCCGCGTGATGGTGTCAGCGTGCCTGACCAGAAGCCTGAAGTCCGCACTTTTTTGTGGGCGGCCGGCGCGCGTCCACCGCCGGGGTTGTTACAGCCCGGTAATGACACGTCCCCCGCGTTGGGAGACGGGCGGGGAGGGGCATGTACCCCGCCGCCGCTGCCCAGATGACACGCCAGCCCAGGGCTCCCGTAATGAAGATAAAAAGACGGTTGATATCGAGGCCAGTAGCTCAGCGCTTGGCTCAGCGCCGGCCGTGGGCGCTGGGCGCGTCGCTTTGGCGGCGGGCATCCGGGACATCGGCCTTGGCTGCCCGTGGAAGCGAAGCGCGGCCTTCCTGGGACACGAGCCTCGTGAGCGATCTCGTTGCTGCACGCGCGACCGCCCGCCGGAGAATAATCGGAGAACAATCGGAAAATAGTCTGAGGTCGTTCGAACGCGTAACGGCACATCGCTCAGACCGGACAGCAGGGTGCACAAGATCAGGGTCGGAGAGGCTCGGGTTCGAGGTTCGCCTCTAAACGCGGCGATTCCGGAAAACTCGCCTGGCCCGACCTTGGATGTTAGCAAACAATTGCCTTATCGGTGACCGCGGCCAGCAGCGTTCAGGGCTTTGCGGATGGCGGGACAGCTCACGCAACAAAAATCGCGCAGGCGATGAAAAACCCTTTATACATACCTTTGATCGAAACGTTTTCCGCGTGGCCGCCCGACGGTTGGATGCAGCACATTTTTATTTTCGGTCCGATTTTTTCATCGCGAAAAGTGAAAAACCAACAGGAGGGGAGCCAAAGAACTTCACCTCGATGCGCTTATGGCTCGTGCAGTGCCTTTGTTTTACCCTCCCCTGGAGATATGCGATCCATTCATCTAGACAGCTCCAACAAACAAGTAAATGTTTTCGCCTCAGGGCGGTAGTTCACTCCGCCCGATCGTTGGATGCCCCTACCCCTTCGACACACGCCAGACATCAGATCCTGGCGACGCGCCTTGTGGCAAATCTCTCCCTCCCTTGCATGCGTGTCTGCCGATAAGTGGCTGTATTTTCGTCTCGCGCTTAACGCAACGTGTGCGGGCCAGCTGTCCACCTTGGCGGCAGCTTGCTGGGCTTCCCGCGTGGAATCCAGCGGATTACTTATTATGTAATGACTGGATACGTGGCCTCCGCTGCCCGGCCCGACAGCCTCGAACATACGCACACCGTCATTACCAGTTCCGTCCGATTACAAGGTGCAGGTGCCTACGATGGCCCTCGCTAATGCCCTTCTCAGGTTTCGTTAGCCATGCACGCAACAGTAAGGAATCGTGTTGCTCTAGGCGTCTTACATCGGTGCATTTAGGTCGGGACCGACTCAGTTGGCCATCTTAGGCGACTGGAGCCGCCGTCGCTGCGCGCAAGTCAGGGGTTTGCACCAGGCTGCGGCATTAATTATTCTGTCTGTGGTTGAGAGGCGTCTGCTTGCAATGGTGGCTTCCATCTCAGAGCGCTCTAGAACAATAGCTTATTATGGTTAGATCACTCGACGTTTCAACGCATGCCTGTCCAACCTCTTCAGCGACGAAACAGCAGATTAAAGAAAACCATTTAGACAAGATTACACCCCTTTCAGCTTTTGAGGCCTTCAGCAACAACTACGACCTGCTCATCTCCATTTCTTTCGACCCGCACGCTACAATGATGATAGTGGGAAACGAACCCGGGTGTCGTCCTCAATACAAAATCGTCCGTACATCGACGTATATGTCGACAATAGAAAGACATTTTCGCAAACCTGTCAGGTAATTCTTCAGGAGAGTGTAAAGAAACACTCCCGACTTGTGCAGCGCATTGCTGTCGTCTTGGTTCTTCATTAACACTGGGTTTGGAATTACCGCTTGTTCGACGATACCATAAATGCACCGTTGACATTTCCCGCGGTCCTACCTCGCCCGATTTCCAGACGTGTGCAGGCGGTTCAGCAACGTGCCGTGAGTCGAAGAGTTATGATGATTTCTTCTCATGTTTTTTTCTTTTCCCTTTCTCAGAAACGGCAGCAGCGGACGCGGCATCGGCGGCGCATCTTCTGCACGCCGCCGCCGCCGTGCCGGCACGCGCGACCGCCACCGGGCAGAAGCGGCACGCGACACACCCGCGCACGCGCCCGCGCGCGCGCCCTATCGGCGACCCGGGGAACCCGGCGGGCGAACTCAAGGTCATCCGCCGCCGCAAGGTGCTGCTCCCGCCGCGTAGTCAACCGCGTGCGCCCGGCGGTGACGTCGGCACGGATAACGTCACCTCGTCGACGGAGCGGTCGTTCCGCGAGTTCCTGCGGCCGCCCTTTCTGGCGCTGCTGAACGACTCGCGGTTCAGTCTGCAGCCCGAGTTCGTCCTCGCGCAGGGCGGCGCCGGCGGCCACCGCATGCAGCCCTTCCGCGACTTCGGCGAGAAGCTGGAGAGCGACGCGCCGGAGACGAGTGTCGAGACGCCGCCAGCCGTCTCCGAGGGTGCGGACCTGAGTGCGAACTCGTCGGCCGACGCGAGTGATAGAGGTGGGCCGAGTGACAGTGGTGGGCGCGGTGCGGTGGTGACGAACGAGTCTGTGGTGGACGCGCTGTCGGGCGCCCCTGGCGAACGTCACGCGAAAGTGGTGGTGCGGAGAAAGAAGGTGCGGATTGTGAGCACGATGAGCGCTGACGACTCGCGCGGCGACGTGCGAAAACCGCGCCAACCGACATCACTGTCGGCTGGCACGAGCTCCCAGCCGTCGTCGTCTGCGACAGGGTCGGATAATGGTGCGACGGTAAGGACGACTTCCCGCAGTGCTGACAAGAACACAAGGCCTTCAGCAACGACAAAAAGCATTCCGACAGCATCAGAGGCGACGACGGCGCCCAGCACCACGACGTCCAAGCCTGTGTCAGATGCAAACTCCTCACCTTCAGCAGCTACAACGAGTGGAACCAAAGTTCCCCGGAGGTTGGCGAATCGGCGGCTCCTTCGACCTCCCACAAAAGCACCAGAGCCCTCTCCCACTCCCACTGACGGGGAAAGCAAGGGAAAGTTGGCTCCCGGCGCGGGAGAGCAGTCACCGACCCCAGATATCGGGAAAAAGACGGCGTCCACTGGAGCCGAAGCGGTCGTCCCTCACAACACCACCTTGGGAGAGGCACCGGAGACCTCCCGCAAGCAAACCCCAGGCTCCAACCGCTCACCGGTAAAGACTCGTCGCACCCAGACGGACGGTACCGACCCGAAAGAGCGAAGTCGAGGAGGGCTCGCCGCTCGCCCAGCGCGGCGACGGCCGTCCGTCACCGCTCAGCGCCGTCGCACCCGGCTCCGAGGCCGGCTGACGCGGGTGCGACCGAATGCCACCGCGATCAGCGTCTCCACGACGGACGCCACCCCCGCCGAAGACGCCGACGGCCAGAGTGTCAATAGGGAGAAGAAGGAAGTGGCTAAGGTGCTCGGGCTCCTGGGGAAGATCCGGAACCGCGCCCGGACGCGTCCTACCCTCTCGCCGGCGAGGAGGCAGTCGAAGGGAACGACAAAGTCGCTGGCTAGTTCAACCACCGCGCCGACAGCCAGTCCTCTATCTACAACGCAAGGTTCAGCGTCGTCAGAGACAACTTCAACTTCGGCGACCACTAAAGCAGACAGCGTTCCGACCACGTCGCCCTCCACTCCGCTGACGTCTCCTTCCTCCACGCCGTCGACGACCCAAACCACGACGGTGTTAAGTAGCAGCACTTCCTCGCCCCTCGCTGCTGACGTCGCTGTCCCGACCAACGTGAACTCCGGTGGAGCTGTCACCCGCAGTCCCCAAGCGAGGCCGGTCACTCCCGCCGGCGCCGGCTCCTCTGTGGAGCGGCGCAAGCGCCCCGACGCACTGCGTCGAGGTTCGGCCTCCACGAGCAGTGACAAACCGAACCTGCTGGCGCGTCGCCTGCAGGAACGCCGCAACATCTTCTCGATCCGCGGTGGCCGGACGCCGAAGGTTGACCCCCGGCCGCTGCTGCCCACCAACGCGCCGTTCCCGCTCCTGCTGTCGAAGATCAAGACTGCGCTCAGTCCAAGTCTGCTGTCCAAGGCGCCATTCGTCGGCAACATCGCCATCAATGTAACGCTGTCGTCGCCAGCGCCTGGAGTTGTGAGCTTGCGTCCGGAAGCTCCCGTTGCGAAGCCTCCGGTGGACTTGAGCAACGTCGGAAGCGCTAGTACCGTCAATAACACAAGCGACAACAACAACGTCAGAAGCGCTAGTACCGTCAATAGCACAAGCGACAACAGCAACGTCAGAAGCGCCAGTGACTTCAATAGCAAAAGTGACGTCAGCAACGCTACAAACGTCAACATCCCGAACAACGTTAGCAGTGTCAACAGTAGCAGCTTCAACAACGTTACGAGTGTCGGTGACGTCAGAACCTTGAGCACTCCCAGCGGTCTCAGTGATGCCAGAAAAGCAAGTGACAACCTCACCAGCGGCAACCTTGCTGATGTCAGGAACACTACCAAAGTCAGCAACCCGACCAGCACGGAGGATGTGGAGAGAACAGTGCTGGGCACGTCACTTGAAACGTCCGTTTCAATCGCTGTCTCACCGCTCGAGTACCGCCTGCGTAAGCGGGTGAAGTTGCCGGTTTCGCTTGATCGCGGACTTTCTGAGGAAAATGCAACTCAAGCGCTGGCAACATCCAGCAACGTGAGCCGCGGAGAGTCCCTGGATGGTCAGGGTAGTGGAGCGACGAGGACTGCGGCCAGGGGGGTTACTGAAAAGGTTACCGCAGTGGAAAGGGTTCCAGAGGCTTCCGTACCAAAAATCAAGAAGACAGCCCCAGTTTTGGAGAGCAGCGTATTGGAGAGCACGGCAACACCACCAACCTTGAGGAGTGAAGAGAGTATTGATGTTGGCGAAGACACTGGGCTGGAAGCCAATGAAACAAGCATCGCTTCTAAACCCCGGACCGGAAAAAGTATCCTTCCGGTTCGAACACGGGACGACCCACGAGAAATCGCTGCTCCTGGTACGTCAGCCAGGAAGGAAGCACCCATCGTAAGTGAAACAGATGCGTCAAGAAGTAGTGAAAAGGACGACACAACTCGCGCAAAGCCAGGTAGTACTATCACGGGCACCAGAAGTACATCTCCTACGCCAGAAAGCTACACGGAGCCTGCGGTGGAGAATCACACGTATCTGAAGGGTATCTTGGTGAAGTCTCAGGACGACTCGACCACGGAGACCTCGGCAATATCGCCGGCGCTCGCAACAACAACCGAGATTTCCCTTGATGCTGGAAAGTCGTCCTCCGAAGCAAGCTTTGCTCGTTTTACAGACGACGTGTCAGAGCCCAGCTTCGAGGCATCGCCATCAAATTCAGACGTTGACACTGTTGAACCTCTAACGGCTGCGGCTTCCACAACCATGACCACTATGGTGCGACCTACAGACTCAATTCTGCGCGTCCTCACCTCAGAGGCAATGAAATCCTCAGAACTTCCTTCTGCATCTTCTTCCTCATCCGCTTCCGCAGATCCTTCCGCATCCTCAACCAAAGCGCCATCACCGGAGACAACGTCTCACCAAGCGACGGTGCAGGAAGTTCCCTTGGTTCGGGTGACCGCCGTGAACGAGCTGGCCGCCCTGGATATCAAAGAGGACGCGACAGGCGACAGCGGACCCATCTACCTTGTGTCGCTGCTGTTTGTCCTGCCCGTCGTGGCCGTCGCGCTCTGGTACCTGAAGAAAAACCACCCGGACGTGCAGCACCTGATGCCGGAGGTGAGGCTGACGCGTCTTGGCGTTATTGTACTTGATGTTCCCGCCTTTTTGCAAACGTGATAAGGACCATATGCTGATGCAGTGTGTCAACGACAATGTGATAGCTTTTATCGCTTACACGCGCCTGGGAGGCTGGTTGAATGCAACGGGCTGGAGTGGGAAGGGGTCAGTTCGACCGTATGAGATATCAAAAAGTAAGAGAGATAGATACACTAAATTCGCAGGCCAGGTAGCGTATCATGTGAACTCATTTATGGCAAGGATCGAGGCAAGTATGTAGTCAATGTATCTAAATTACCATAAACAAAAGCCACTTGATACCGGAAGTATTCAAGTGAAAACGCCGTTTGATTTTCAGGTTGGTCTGACGTCCATATCTGACCCGAGGTTAATGGCACAATATTGTGATCCTATTTTCGTGGGTCCAATTGTCTACAAAATATATCAATGTTGCATGACTTGGCCTTGCACTCTTTTTTCACATGAAATGAAAAATCACAAGAATTAACTTCGTTGACAACCATGACCTGACGTTGACCTGCCACAGTTCAGTGACTTCAAGAGGTTATGTAGGTGGTCACTGCAATATTTATGTACATCTTATAATTTGATTTTCCACAGCTGTGCAAAATGTGGTGCCGCTACGCCCCACCACATGGAGACCTCCCTGAGAACCTTATGGGCACAGTCAAATTGACCGCCTGCCCAAGTACGTTTTAAGAACATAAACAAAAGTGTTATGATTCTCCAAACTAGGTAAAAAACGAGATGGATATTAAGTTCTCTTACGCTCAGTTTTGTACAGTAAAACCAGTCGGTGCAATCTTAGGTTTCCTGAACATGTGAATAATTCGATATTATTAACGCGTTTTCTGTCTGCATGCCAGCGCCTGAAGACAATGCTGGCGCAAGAGACGACGGAGGGTTCCCAAGACGTCTACCCGGTAGAGGCCGAAGAAACCACAAGGAAATCGACGGTGTCTAAGAGCCATGTAAGTTCAACAAATGTCGATTCAAGTCTTGGTGCCTCTTCAGAAATAATGCCTGCGCGGATGGTGCTCGTGCATACTGCTCAGTTTTATCGCGGTGTCGCGCAGCTGCCAACACATTTATGAAGATATATTCCGCTCGCCAACTTGGAGCAGCAGACATGTCCAATCCGATGGGAAATGCAGTTTTCTATCAACTCTGGGGTCACGTGTAGTAAAATTGACCTGCTCGACCCCTAAGTGGTCTAAGCCGACCCCCAGCGTATCCAGCAATGGGCACGTGCCGCCGCTGGCGAATAACGTCGTCGACGATGGGGACAGCGATTGGTCAAGAGCAGATCACGTGATGGCTAGACTCAAGGCCATATCAGGTTAGCTTTCATGGCCATCATCGCTGCTTAGCCGTCGCTTTTTTGCTATCGGCCACCGACGTGCGTGAGGGAAGCTGGAAGCCAGCACAATGAAAGCAGGAACGGACTTGAGCGAAACGAAACCGGTGGTTGGTCAGGTTTGATTTGATTCTTTTTGTGCTGTTGGGAACAGAATGTAGAGCGATTGTCAGAAAATACCTATGAAGTAGCGCATCAAACCCCCGCATGCTTTAAAAGCAGGTTCACGAAGTACTCATCACCCCGCTAGCAGATGGCACGATACATCTGGGTCATCTTGGCACATGGCCCACCAGTCAACCACCGGCTTTTGCCTACCTCAATTTCTCACCCGCGTCAGCCTCGGCTGACGTCTCACTCTGCTTTACACCTTGAGGTTGAAAGTTGTTGCCTGCGTATATTCTTAAGGAGATGCGCTAAGCTCCCGCTATTTGATACCTCAAGACCACTCATACTGGAGCAATCGAATCATTTTTGATTTTCAACGGATGGCCTGGCCGGCCGCCATCCTCGCAGGAACGGATGTGCTGGCGACCACTTGTCGCAGCTAGTGCAAGTTCTCGGCAACAGCATGCACGTTTTTCAAAATGTCGTGAAAATATAATGTTGTCGGCGCGCCCAAAACCCTAATTAACGGTAATAAAATGCCGTGCTGTATAAAATGGTACGCATTTGCATACCAGCTGTTTGATGGAAGATATTTTTTCACGTTACAAAATTTTCACGATTTGAGGTTCTCCATTCCATCAGCATGAAAAATTCAAGGCGTGCAACTTGCAAAAAAATGAGGGACTTGTGTTCAAACTGGTTTCAGGGACACGATATTGACATATTTGGAGATGAAAAAGGTTAACCGCAATAACAAAAGTGTGAGTCAAAGGTTGCATGCAGACGGGTACGTGACATCGTGCGCGAATCGTAAAAAATCGCCCATTTTTAAGCGTCTTTAAAGATTGATGTAGGATTTCAGCAGCCAGAGCATGCGACGACGTTATACCGGTTGCACGGTGTGGGCGAAGTACCAATAACAAGTCACTCAATAACAAGTCATACAATCACAGTCAATCAAGTCATTAACAACCACAATCCATCCATAGGCGCGCCAGTAATCGAGGCACTTATCTCAGGTTTTACGAAACTGATCTCGAATGCAAGAATTTGTGCATTTCAAGAATTTATTATTTGTTTAAAGAATTTCGAATTTGGATGGAGCGAGTTTGGGCGCGACAGCTGCACTGGTGTATAGGCCGGCTTATGGTGACCAGTGGTGAGCCGAACTATGTGCATTTGTTTGAAACATGTTGACTGCAAATTCAAAAGCGTTTTTACTACAACTTCATAACTTTCTTTTTTCCAAATTGCTAAGCACGACCATGCTCATCACTGGACGTTTTGCAAGCCGCATTGTTCGTGAACCAGCGCACGAATTTGACGCTAGCGCAACTATAAAAGTTAAATACATAGTCTTGTTAAAAATCCCCCCGATTGTTTGCCGTAGGGGTTCGGCTCCACCACCTTACCTGTTGCCATTTTCTACATGATACCGGCCGCCAAATCTCACATATGTTATCGCCTCAGCTGTCTCACGCCTCAAGTGTGTTGGGAATGTGCAACATCACGTATATACCTCACACCTCACGCCTCACGCCTCACGTGTGTTGGGAACGTGCAACATCACGCATATATCTCACGCCTCACGTGTGTTGGGAACGTGCAACATCACGCATATATCTCACGCCTCACGTGTGTTGGGAACGTGCAACGTCACGTATATACCTCACGCCTCACGTGAGTTGGGAACGTGTAAGCTCGCGTACATACCTCACGTCTCACGCCTCACGTGTGTTGGGAACATGTAACCTCACGTCTATACCTCGCGCCTCAGATGTGCTGCTGGTCTTAAAAACACTTACAATTTTAGATTATCTTGCGCTCAGCTGCTGCGCAAGCGCACCTGTCTATCCACCAGTAAAACACAATCACCTTGTGGTGAACCCACGCGTCCAGTCCGTCAACACATCCCCGTCTGACGAACCTCAATCCGCCTCCGCAAACTGGTACCGAATGAAAATAACAGTAGACCACTACGAACAACAGGCCTAATCAGTGAGGCACGCGCTCAATGCATACGCGGAGCTGCAGTAACGAACGATGTGCAGCTGTTTCCACCTTCGGACTCCGCCTACGCGCCACTGACTGCAAACGCGGCTATTGAAACCTGATGTCGTCGAAGACCTTTGCTACACTGCCACGCCCACTGATGAACTCCGCACTTTAAACTCCGAACTGATGAACTCCAGCACGTCGGCGAGCATTTAGTCCTTTCAGTTCCTTTTACTTTTTTTGACATGCAATCCAGTTAGTTCATTTTGTCTGTTGCGAGCATTAAGTTCATTTAGCCCGTCCTGCGAGCATTTAGTTTAAGCTGTCCATGCAAACCATGCCTTACCGACACCAGCCCATGCGTCACCGATCCGAATTCAGCCCCAAGCTCGCTCCCCGAGGAGCCAATCAGCGCGCGTTTCACGGTTCTCAGCGTCAAGGTTATCGGCACCGTTTCACGCGCCGCGCTGCAGTTACACCACTTTGACGTTCCATTACGCCGGCCAGCGCGGCAGATAGGCTGGCATGGCTGCCAAGTGAAAGTGAGCCCGCCGCGCGGGAGACCACCGCGGTCTGTTGTGCCAGTCTGGCCCTCGCCGCCGGCATCAATGCAGTACTTAGACGACTGTGGCTGGAGGTTACGGTCGCGGCGGGCCCTGAGCTCCATTAGTGTCGCACTAAGTGGCTGTTGGGAAGCCGTGACGTATGGATGGGGTGCTGCCAGTCACAGAGAGGGGTGACGTTCAAGACCGTCGCTATCCATCCTGACCTACACACGTACATTACGCACGCTGCGTGTGTCGCAAGAGATTGCTTGCGTCGACGAATAGGTCAACAACAGTCAGCGTCGCTGAGATCGGCAGCGGGCGCTGTTCTCAGAGTGCTGGAGAGGTGGGGACTGACTGCGACTTCTGCGAACTCATTCTGATAACTTAGCTCCAAAAGCGATCGTCAAAACTCAGAGGGATCGCCAAAACTCAGAGTGATCATGAAGACTCAGGGTGATCACCAAAGCTCAGAGCGATCATCAAAACTGAGAGCGATCATCAAAGCTCAGGGCGATCATCAAAACTCATATTGATCATCAAAACTCAGAGCGATCATCAAAACTCCGAGCGATCATCAAAATCCAGAGCAATCATCAAAACTAAAAAAAAAACGAACGACGATGGTGGCCGGCCTGGGACCCCAAAGTGACCAGCTATTGACCATAATCTACGGCTTGGCTAGCAGCACATCCACATGATCCACGCTCATTGTGATCCACACTGCATTCCTAGACCGAGGTCATGGACCGTGACCGTGCAGCATGATGCTGGATCACGCCCATGGTCCACGAGTTTGCTGCGATCCCGCAAACCTGGCAGTTCCGGTGGACGGGGATATTGAGTCGCATTTAGTTGGGCGGGCTCCAGGTCCCCAATCCGAGCTTTGCCGCAGTAACCAATTTCAAAAGGAAAGTGGATGAAGTCCGTGTCCAATTGGATGAACTAGAAAACTAAAGTTAACTACGTCTTCTACTGTTTTCTTTACTGTCTGCCTAAGGACTAAATCCTGACCTTTTGATAGAATGGATTTCGGGATGTCATGTTTGGAATCATTGCGTGCTCGGACTGCAAGTGGGAATGTGACCTTTGCTTGGCTCTGCCCCTCATCGATTTCGCAAAACTATGCCGGCGGTTATCTTCAGTTTCAACACTACCCCACTGATGCATGACCGTGGTCTGTGGCTTTGTCCCCCGGCGCGGATCACTGGATACAGTTGTGGGCGGTGATCCCGAACTATGATCCCCAGTTTTGACCTGTTGCTGTGACCCCCAGCTGTGATCCCCAGCTGCTAACTCCATCTGTGACCCCAGCTGTGATCCCCAATTGTGATCCACGACTGTGACCCCCAGCTGTGATCCCCAGCTGCCATCTCCAGCTGTGACCCCAGCTGTGATCCCCAATTGTGATCCACGGCTGTGACCCCCAACTGTGTTCCCCAGGTGATATCTCCCGCTGTGATGCCCAGCTATGATCCCCAATTGTAATCTCTAGTTGTGCTCTCTAGCTGTGATCTCCTGCTATGATGCCCAGCTGTGATCCTCAGCTGTAGGAGCGTGGCACCGCCGTGGGGCTATGATCAATTTGCCGCTCATACGGTGCAGACGCTGCCTCCCCCCCCCCCCCCGTTAACTGGGATGTGGCGGAGCTCTGTACGCTTGGTCTCTGAGATGCTATCTGAACTGACGACGTAATTCAGCTCTGACGACACATTAATGGGGCGTTTACGATGCCAGTCCGGCGGAGAAAAACGCACTGAAGGCTGGTAAATTGGATGCGATTGCTGGACGCCTACGAGCGCTTTGCCTGCAATCGCGGGGTATGGTGAGGACTCAGGTCATTGCTCCACTCGGAAACTGTCACAGCCACACTTGCGGAGGTTTGCAGAATCATTTGATGTAATCTAGTAGGCATATAGATATGAATGTTTAGAACGGATGGACTGCAGTTGGCATGTGAATTCAG